TTATTTATTTATTTATTTATTTATTTTTGTGGTACCAGGGATTGAACTTGCCAGACAGGCACTTATTCTATTAAACTATCTCCCCGGCCCGTTAAATGATTTAAATCATGACCGAAAAATGCAGCATAAAACTTATCATTTTAACCATTTTAATTGTACAGTAAAGGGATTAAATACATTCACCTGGGCGGTGATTACCACAACCCATTTTTGGGTCTTTTTTGCTCTGAAGCTCTGCATATGTTAAATGGGATCATTTATCTTTAGCACACTATTCCTATGTCTTGATCCTAACTAATTATTATATTTATTTGTATGTATTTATGTACTTTTTATATTTTAGGGAAGGGTCTACAGGGTGTTCAGGGTCTCATTATAAGATTGGCCTCATAATGATCTGCCTGTTTCCAGCCTCCCAAGAGCTGAGATTACAGGAGCACACCACCACGGCCAGTCTCAATTGCCATCTCAGCACGCCCTGCGGGGGTGGCCAGCATGGCAAGCCAGGCATGGAACCCTGGCCCCTGCGCCTCTTTGCAGGTGCTTTAATCCACTGAGCTATTTGGCTGCCCCTATTTTTATGTATTTATAAGATCTGTTACTATTATAAAAGAAAGTTTTCAACCATTTGACCATACCTTTTATAATCATTTATTGCTGACATGTGTGTTACTTACTGATACAGGCATACCCTGGAGACACTGTGCCTTTGGTTTCAAACCATCCCAGTAAAGGTTATAGTGCATTGAAAAGGATACCACAAATTTCATTTTCCAGCATATATAAAATTTATACTATGTCTTAGTATGTTAAAAGTGTGACAGCACTGTCTCAAAACTGTACTTTAATTAAAAACAACGTGTTGCTAAAAAGTTAATAATATTTGAGGGGCTGGTGAGATGGCTCAGTGGTCTAAAGCACCTACTTAGAACAAGCTCGGCAAAGCACAGGGACCGTAGTTCAATCCCCCAGCACCACATGCCAGCCAGCCCCGCCCCCTGGTGGGCTGATCTGACCCCCCCCACCACACACACACACACACAAATAAATAAAAATTAAAAAATAATAATAATATTTGAGCTATTGAAAAAGATGCATTACTAAATTTGCTTAACCAACATTTGTCACAGACCTTCAATTTGTAAATAATTATGTCATCTATGAAATATGATAAAGCCAAGTGCAATGCAGTGAAGTCTGCTTGCCATCATGTATTCATAAAGAATTGTTTCCAGCCATTAAAAAGTGAGATTCCTTTCAATTGATAGGATTTTTCTAGTGCTTTTCTTTAACCTGTTGAAGCAGCAAATGTTACCTCTTTACTTTTTGACCTAGCAACATAAGATTTATCTTTTTTCTTATTTACATATCATTTGATTCCTTGTTTATTCATTGGCTTTTAAATGATGTCCTTTTGAATGTCCTTATAACTATAATGACAGTATTCATATATTTTCTTTTATAAGTAGTAAACAGTAGTTAAAAATATTCCTAACAAAATATCTTGCTTTGAAAACCACACCTTCTTCAGAATGAAGCTGTAAAACTGGAAACAGCAAATAAGATTCTACAGAAGAAAATGCAAGTAAGTTTTCTTTTGTGTGCGATTCAGAGTTTACAGAAATATTTCCTGAAGTATTTGCTCATACTCAATTAAGAATACATGCATTTTTCTGAATAATAAATTCCTGTAATAATTGGAATATCTGACTATAAATATATTCACTTAAAACTAGACTAGTATAAGTTCATTTATTAATAAAAATAACTCTTACATTTTAACAATGGAATATGCTAGTCATAAGCACTTTTCTCACTCAGCCATGCATTACTGTTCAATGTATTGCATTTATTCATGGCAAGAATCTAATGAACTGGCTCTGATAGACACTTTGGAGATACCTCCTTCAAAATTCTTCATAGTTTGCTTTAGTACATAAAACTAAGAATGATAACCTATCTAGGAATGATCCAGATATAATTCAGAAATGATAATCTATCTACAATCAAATTTGCTGCTATTATATGACCAAAGAATTTTTAATTTTTGCAGGTCATTGAAAACAATGTGAGGCAGATCATGAAAAAGAGTAAGATCAGTGAGGAAGAACAGGAGTAAGTTTTTCTATCATGATACAAATATACGAAAAAAGAAAAAGAAAAAAAGGGGCTGGGGAGCTGGCTCAGTGGAATAAGTGCTTCCCTGGCAAGCACAAGGGCCTGAGTTCAAACCCCAGTTCCACAAAAAAAAAAAAAAAAGATAAAAATATATGTAACATCTTTGATCAATTTTGATTTAGTGTATTGTGAGAGATATGAATCTAGTTTCTATTTTTCTCCTCCTCCTCCTCCGTCTTCTTTTTTCAGTGCTGGGGATTGAACTCAGGACCTTGCACTTGCCAGGCAAGTGCTTATTCTACTAAGCTATCTCCCCAGCCCATACAGTGCTAGATTCAGTCTTCAGCATATGGAAAGTCAGTTTTCCCCGCACCATTTAGGAAAGAGCCTATCTTTCTTCCAGTAAAAGTGTTTGGGCACTTTGCCAAAAGTAAGATGACTGATTATGTTTAGAGTTGTCTTTGGATGTTTTATTCTGCTCCATTGATACTCAGGTCTGGTTTCTTTGTTTTTTTTCTTTCTTTCTACCAATACTATGCTGTTTTTATTATGTTAGCTTTGTGTTATAACTTCAAATTGGGAACTGTGGTGCCCCTGCCTAAATATTAACACAGAAACACTTAATCTGATCAAGTATAAAATAGATAAAACTCAGAAGAATATATGCAGTGTATTATTTCTTGAAGCTGTACTTTCGATTTGATTTGAAACTGTCTCATTGCTATATGTTTATCAATAAAACTTTGAAAAGAAAAAAAACATGGAAATGTTAAAAAAATAGATAAAACTCTTTAAGACATAGGTATAGTCAAAGACTTTGTGAACACAATCATGATTGCATATGAGATATTATCAAGAATAAACTGAGATTACATCATACTAAAAGCTTTTGTAGGGCTGGCAAAATAGCTCAGTGGATTAAAGTCCTTGCAAACAGGTGAAGGGGCTGAGGGTTCGATCCCCGGGGCCTGCCACGCTGGCCCAGCCTCTGGGGCATGCTGAGGTGACAGTGGAGACTGGGCATGGTGGCACATGCCTGTAACCTCAGCTCTTGGGAGGCTGTAAACAGGCAGATCACTATGAGTCTGATTTAGTAGTGAGACCCTGAACACCTTGTAGGCCCTTCCTCTAAAATACAAAAAATAAAATAAAATCTTTTATGCAGCAAAAGAAACTACAAACAGCAGAGACAACAAATGCAAAAAATTTTACCAGCTATTCCTCAGACAAAGGACTAATATCTAAAATATATAAATAACCTAAAAAAGTCAAACAGTGCAAATTTAGACTCAATCTGAAGTGAATAAATGCTTCTCAAATGAAGAAATGCAGACAGAAAAAAAATATGAAGATATCAGATATCATTGGTCATTCAAAAGATGCAAATTAAAACAACACTGAGAGTCCATCTTACCCTACAAAGAATGGCTGCTGTCAAGAATTCAACCAATGGGCTGGCAAGATGGCTCAGTGGTCTAAAGCACCTACTTGGAACAAGCTTGGCAAAGCACAGGGACTGCGGTTCAATTCCCCAGCACCACATGCCAGCCAGCCCCGCCCCCTGGTGGGCTGAGCTGGCCACACACACACACACACAAAATAAATAAATAAAAAAAAAAAAAGAATTCAACCAATAACAAATGCTGGAGTGGCTGTGGGGGAAAAGGAGCTTTTCTGCACTGTTGGTGAGAGTGTAAATTCATGCAACCAATTTGGGAATCAGCATATAGATTCTTCAAAAATTTAAACTAGAATTTCCAGTTGACCCAGATATTGATACCTTTCTGAAAGAGTTAAAAGAATCACACCCCAGCAACACATGCACACCATGTTTATAGCAGCACAATTTGTAATGTAGGTAACAACTCAGATGCTCATCAGATAAATGGATAAAGAAAATGTGGTTTTTCATGACTCATCCAGATGGCTGACACTGACAAAAGATCTATAAACTGCTGTACATAGTTTCAGGGTAAATCCTGAGGGAATTTGGCTGACCTTGTCAGATACAAAAGTTACATTTTTTGTTATATAGGTCTTGCTTTATCTTGCTCTTAACCACCCAGCCAAAAAGTATAACCAAGAGGTATAAAAAGTAAACCATATTAATGAGCTGAACTGTAAATGACTCAAGTCAACAATTTCTGACATTGCCTGTTCTGCTGATAACCCACTACTATTATGGACTCTTGGACTATATTGTGTTATTTTGCTGAATGCATGCACCTACAATATTTGAATGGCAATGGAACAACCATCCCTGACAAAACAAAACAAAAAAGGGGGATATAAGTGAAGGTCCATTTTATAGTGGATATACAGCTACTTTCTCTTAGCTCAATGAGAAGAAAGATTTGTACTAATAGTGTTCAGACAAGATGTGTCTGCATCTTGTACTATGAATAACTACTACAAAGACAACAATATGCAATGTGTTAATTATTGTAACTCTTCTACTAACCTGTTTTGAAACTTTCTCATTGCTATTTCTTTCTCATGAAAATTAATTAAAAAAATAAAAATAAAAACTAAAAAAATTAAAAATGTGGTTTCTATATACAATAGAGTACTACTCTACTATGAAGGCTAAATTTGAAACCTCAGGCAAATAGATGCCCCTTGAGACCATGATTTTAAGCAAAATAAATCACACATTTAAATATCACACTGCTTCTCTTGTGTGAGAAGCCAAAAGTACAAATAAGGACCAAAATGGATGATAGGAGGAAGAAATTGTTGAATTGGGAAAGTGAACAAGAGAGGGGAGGGGAGAAGGGAAGGAAGGCAAAGGGGAAAAAGCACATAAAAAATAAGCACAACATTTACATGGACAAATCTGCTTAATACTTCCCCTACTTCTCTCCCAGGACCCCACACCATGCCTTGCCTACAGTCAGTCTCATATATAAAATAATTTACAAAGTAAATTATTTATTCACCTACTTACTTCCAGTGATATACAACCAGTCACAGCTTTTCGGTAGTCTTTTCCCTCTACCTTGGCCTCTGTAAATGTTTCTTATTTCCATACCCCATGCTATACTCCCTTTATCAGGACTTACACACACAAATTGTATGTATATCTGTTTATTTTATTTTTGAATCAGTGAAATTGTAAATTGTCCTAATCTACTTTTGAAATAAACATTTAGTTAAGAAAAAGAATGTAACTGGCTTATCTTAATTTTCTTTCCTAAGTTTAGGGTTCACTTCAAAACCATTCAACTTGAGGAGCCAGGGAGATAGCTCAGTAGAATAAGCACTTGCTTTGCAAGTGCGAGGCCCTGAGTTCAATCCTTGGTTCAAAAAAAAAAAAAAAAATCAATTTAAGATATACACATACATGTTTTTTTTTTTTTAAAAGAAAATATTTCTAGGAAACAAAATAAAATCCTACAATAGCAGATGTTTTACACATAAATAAATGTTTTTTAAAAGAAAATCCAGGGCTGGGGAGATAGCTCAGTAGAATAAGTGTTTGCCTGGCAAGCTCAAGGGCCTGAGTTCAATCATTGGTTCTGCCAAAAGAAAGAAAAAAAAGCTTTAAAGAGACAGAATCATGGTAAAAGAAAATCCAAATTCCTAATGTTCTATTTATTACAAATAAAAGTGCAAGAAAAGCCTTTGAATCCTCTGTAACATCTGCTTGATTAATTTCCTAAACCAAGTGAAATATTTGAGATGGATTATTTTTTAAATGGAGAAAATACTTTAATTTTAATACTTTAAAATTATTTTGCTACTAATCACTTACTGATACTTGTTTCTATGTAGAATAAATATTTCTATATAGAAATGCACAGAATTGAAAAAGTCAAATAGATTCCTAATTTATGGAAGATAGCAGAAGTAATCTGATCATATAATAGTGAATAGGAAGAAAGAAAAAAACAGGATGTTTTCCACAGATTCCCACTTTAACAGGAGACTTTCATAGCAAACTCTAATAATCATTTTTTGTGTAAAATGTGCTTCAGTGAAGGGCCATCTATTTTATAATTTGTTTGACCAAAATTCTTCAATGGGGTGGTGGTGAGACAGGAGCTCAGGGCTGCTCATGAGGAGAATAAGATGTTGATATAACCAGTAACAAAACAGGCTGGAAATTGTTGCTAACATAAGAGAAGGGGGTGGGTTCTATTTTTTTTTTTTCAGAACCAGGGATTGAACTGAGGCCCTTGCGCTTGCAAAGGAAGCGCTTTTTCCACTGAGCTATCTCCCTGGCCCAGTGGGCTCTATTTTTGGCAGCACTTGGTTTCAAATTTGGTAAAGTATTTCTAGGATATGGAGAGGTACTAAACTAGAGGAAAGTGAAAAATTAGGATCCTAGAGGTGAGCTGTGTGTATGGTTGCACCTTAGACCTTAAAAATGGATCTAATTCCTGACGGTGTGAAATGTAGGAGGGCCTTGGATCAATGAGGCCCTTGGAAATACCGAGTTTTTAGGATAAAGGATAAGAAATCTATGCAAAGATTTGTATCTAAAAACATACAAAGCAAGAAAAATTCTGAGTGAGCATTTCACAGAATGAGTGGAAAGCATTATCAAAGACTGCAGGTAATCAGGGCAGAAGTGAGGCTCAGATCATTTGGGCAATAGGAAAAGGTACCTCACAGAACACAAGATTCCAAGTGAAAATAAAACTGTAAACATAATGAAAGATGTTCAGTACTGCAATTTCATGAACTTGGAAAAGTAAAGTGATATCTGCTGCTGATTGTACAATGTCCATAAAATAATTCCTTGCGATGCTCTGTCATGAAATTACTGCTGCTTCATTTTCTAAAAGTGGGCTGGGGAGATGGTTCAGTGGAATAAGCACTTCTCTGGCAAGCGCAAGGGTCTGAGTTCAATCCCTGGTTCTGCCAAAAAAGAAACGTAACTGTTGTAACCCAAAAAATCAAAAATTGGACTCAATGTTTTCTAAACGTCTTGAATTTATCTCAGGCCTTATGTTTTATGCTAAATAGCTAGTATGTGTTGAAGTAAGCATTCTTTGT